ATCATTTGGTTGATCCATTCTGCAAATCCTTTTGTAAATCAGTTTTGCAGATCTCTTTGTAGATCCGTTTACAGTATGAAGATTCCATTTGCATGTGCTTTCAAAGAACTCTTGGTATCAGACGACAATACTAATTACGCATCATATCTCCTTAACTTTTTCCCAGCAAGATATAAAGCATGTAGGAATATGTGGAAGTTCAGCCAACTTTTCGCAAAAAAACTTTTTCGTAAAATAACGCAAAATAAGGTATGTATATGCCTTAAATTATGTATGAGAGCGAGTTTTTTCTCACTATAAGCCTTGTATTTAGGAAACGAAAAAAAATGGCCAATATTATTGATTTCAGGTTTAAAGTTCATGATAAATCAGATGATGAAATCTTCATAATCAAAATAGCCTGGCAAACATTAGTCAAAGACGTCATACCCACTATTAAAAAAGGAATGGCAACACTTTATAAGCAGGTTCCTGATGAGATTAAGCTTTACGTGAATAACCCAAAAGGGCCGGCAAAAGAGTTGGAACCAGATGACATGATTTCTAAGCATTTAAATATCGACCATATTGAAGAGAGTCTCATTCTCATATACCCCTAATAGTCTGCTTTAGCAGTATTTCATTATCATGCTATGTAATAGTTTTTATGTATTGTAGGCCGGGTTCTGGCAATGTTTTTATTTCATAAATAAAGTATTATTATCTTATCAATATATGAGTAAGCGGGTCATGTATAATGTCTGTACTACATAAAAACCTATATTAATGGCCAGTATTCTCTTTCCCGAACAGAAATAAATTTTTATCTCACTCCAGAGAGTAACACTATTTTTTGTCCGAGCCTAATATCCCTATAAAAGCACTATGTCTGAAACTAGTACACCTTATACTCTAGCTTCCGCCTCCACTACTATTGCTGGAAATGAGCGGTCTCGTTGGCAGACGAAATTAAAAAATATGACACAGCTAAGCTTATAGAATATTTGCAGGAACAGGGCTTAGGTCTTAGTAAGACGGCTATCAAAATTTTAGAAGAAGAAGAGATTACTGGCCATACTTTCTTCAAGATAACCAAAGAAGAGCTTAAGCGTCATGGAATGAAATTGGGACCTGCAACAGCTCTTGTAGACTTCGCTAAGGACTGTAAGGAGAAAAAATTAAAAGCGTTCTCCTTGTACAAGAGTTTGAAAGAAGTGTTAAAGAAATATGGTATTAGTTCTGATGGTACAGACACTATTCCACTATTCTCTATAGACCCACGAAATTCAAGACACCAACAAGCACTTCGAGCATTGTATGAAGAATATTTTGTTCAGGATAAAGCATTACGGGTCTTTGGTTCTGGATAGTTTGGAATCTATGCGCAATGAATACGTCTCGACCATACTTCATACCTTTCTTCATATCGCAGGAGACGCTACGAGAAAGGAATTTAGTATGAGGCCTGAATACAAAATAATTGGTGATGAAAGTTGTGGACGAGTCGATTATGCAATCAAGGTATGATATTTTTTTTTTTGATACCTTCAGAAGAGATAATAATATTGTCGTACTCGTCTTCAGGAAGCCGAGAACCTTATTTGCATTACAGAGGATAAGGTCCAGTGTAGTGTACTCGAAGGCTTTGCCCAAAATATCAAGCAACTTAAGAGTTCGTACGAAACGAACAAGAGAAAACGAAAGTAGAACAAGGATGATTTTGACTACCTCTATGGAATCGTAACCTCTACTAGGGATTGGCATTTCTTGCTTTATTCTCCAGGTGAAATCTCCCAGGCAAGTGAGCTTTCATTCACTATCGAATTTAGCAAGAAGGCCTTAAATAAGGAATCCGAAGAATATCAAACGTTGTGTAAGGGCGTGAAGAAGGTTTTGGAGGCGATCGTAGGGTTAATAAAGGATAGGGCATGTTCAGATGAAGAACCAGATAGAAAAAGGGTTAAGATAGACGGGTATCGTTCAAAAAAATAATTAGCCATAATTAGCATAGACGTCATGTATTACAGGCTACGTCTCGAATATTTGTATTTATTTTTTGCATATATTAATAAAAAAAATTGAATTTTGCAGATATATATGATAAGCGAAAAAATATATAGTCATGGAACCGCCATTCCAAGGCTATAAACAAATTCATCTAAATCTAATAACATTTTAATAAAACATTCATGCTAAAGCTAGTATATGTCCTGGCCCTAAAACACTAGTCTTGGTAAATGCATCGTATAAAGTACCTGGTTTGTGCTTTGAAGGGGCTAAATCTGGATGATGGAGAAATTTCATAAGCACGTCGTTCCTCCAAGTTTTCATCTCTTCTTGCTCCCAAGTTATCTCTATCAATGTAGATAGGTTACTATAATTCATTTCCATTAGGTTTTGAAGCGAAGATCGTTTATTTTTTTCGAGGGTAAATAAACTCATCCCACCCTCAACAGCAGAGTCCACAGTAATAGGGAAGTTTTTATGAATATCCAATCTACTTGCTAAGATAAATAAGGGTGGAATTAAGGCTGGATAGTAGAAGTCAGCTAAGGGATCTAGCTCAAATTCACTGACACATATAGTCCCAATATCTTCTAAATAATCTGAAAGTCTATTAGCATATCTGTAACCTTCGCGAATCAACTTCTGGAATAGCTTTCCATTCGGACTGATCCATCGACCAGTTAGTAAATTAAGTATTCTTCTATGTATGTCTGATTATTGCATATGGATTGTTGAAATTAGTATTTATGAAAGTGATAATAGATGATTAGTACTTATGAAAATGGTATGTTTAATTACTTATTTCCTCCCATATTCTTCTTTTTATAATATATGTATGCTCTTTTCTTACCTTGTTCACATTGGACACAAAGCTGAACTCTTGATTTAGTACCTCGTTCACATCCTTTACATGGTTGTGGGATTATTACGCCCTTTCGTATTTTAAATGCGTGGGATGCACAATATTGATCCTGTGCTGATTTTTCACAGAAATGGGTCTTTCTAACCAACAACCAATTACAAGACATTTCTTTCCTCTGACCATTATTCATACTCATTTTCATATTTAAAATTTATCGTCGCCTCGAAAGCGAGAGACAACGAATAAGTTGATCCTAGCTGAAGGTACTCAGGGTAAGGGATCGTGCCTACTTGTATGATAGTCGTAAACCTCTATTAATAATTTTTTTTCTTGGCAAAAGAGATCGGCGTAAACAATTGTTCATGATCAGCCAAAATGGCCTACATATTTTTCCGATTTTGAATACTAGCATTATAGAGCATTAAAATATTATCATGTCATCTGAACTTGATTTATTGAGACAACGCATTATTGAGCTTGAGGCCGAGAATGCTGAGGTTAAGGCCAAATATATCAAGGTTATATATGAGAATGCAGAGGTCAAGGCTGAGAATGCAAAGTTAAGGTGCGCTTTGGAAGAACATGAAGCTAGGTTCACGAGACTAGAGTAGAGAGATAAAGAAAAGACCAACCTTATTGCCAAAATGGATGATGATATCAAGGAAATCAAACAATCATCAGCCAATGCCAGCTCTGTCGAGAATTCCAACAATGTTGTTCACCTGGGTAAACTAGAAAAGATGGCAAAGCCATCAAATACATCTGATAGTACATTCAATTCTAATGCATGCAAACCTATTCGTACAGAAACTAAGTCATTGGAGGATAAAGAGACGGATGATTTCTTGGATGAGGAGTATAAGAGAAAGGTTAGCAATGAGATCAGGTAGAGAAAGTGGGAAAAAAAGCTTCAGGATGAATTGATTGTCCAGGAATCATCCCCAGCAATTAACACCAGTTGTATAACAGATCTCTCTACGACTAGCACTGGACTTGTAATTCCCCCAGAACAGGTAGTCGAAGAATTGATTCCAAAGGAATCATCTGCAGAGTCAGCGATATCCTGTGAGTCTTTTAGAAACAAGCAGGACACTCCACCCCAAAAATTCCCTATAATCAGAAAGTAGAACAAGATTTAATATGCGAATTACTTGAATTTATTAAATGCCATAATTCTACGTCCTTACTGAATTCTATATCTAGCAAACATATTTCAGATGTCCCAGTCAATGCTGACCTAACTCCAGGTTCTGTACTTCATTTAGCTCATTTATTCAACAAGGCTGAAAAGACTGGTCGGAAAGAAAAATTACGATGATATTACTATAGTGAGGAATATAAAAAAAAGGCTGTAACCCTTAGCTCTAAAAATAATATTAGCGATCAAATGGCAAGAACGCAGATTTATGATGAAATGGAGCTGTATCTCCCCAGTAAAAAGAGAGAGTATTTGCGTAAGATGACACAAAAGGCTAAAAACATCTATACGTTGTTCAAAGGAATAGGAATAAATAAAATTGGAGTAGTTACATCTAGCACTGATGCAATCTCTAGGCTAACTGATGTACAAATCCAGAATATAATAAATCTTTATACTGATGAACTAATCAAATCTCAAAAATTGATTGACGTGAACAATTGTTCACGCGCACGTGACCTACCGCCTGAATCGAATAAGTCTGGATCGAAAAAATCGCCAGATGTCGGGATAAGCACTCCACCTACAACAAAAACCAATCAGATTAATGTACAAGCCCAATCTAAACCAACTTATGATCGATCCTATTTTCGTAGCAAAACATTGGATCAATATCCTAATCTATATAGAGAATTTAGTAGTGAAAATTTCGATTATTATGGGATTACCAATAATACATCATGCCCATTATGCAAACTAGATCATGATGATGAAGAAAGTATAGAAGGTAGATATAAAGCTGGATCCTATTTTATTAAATGTGAACAGCGCAAAATTGAGATAGTTGCATAGTCTCATTGCTTTACAATAGTCTGGGTAACTCTTTGGGATGATAATCTATCTGGGAATTTTAATCATTTTTTTGAACAAATAGGTCTATGTGAGAAAAAAAGGATTTAAATTGTTTGCAGACATATAAAAAGGAAAATAACCAAGTCCAATAAAATATTAACTCCCAAATATCTGCAATGGAAAACATGGGAATTATGGATTACATGGTGAATGGTATAGAAATGGAACAGAATATTGTCTTACCTGCAACAGTTCAAGTAATAAATTCAAGTTCGCGATTGTAGCATAGGCGTCATGTGAGATTGAGCAGAAGATATTCGGATGGGCTGTACAACATAAGATTTTCGCATACAATTATATTTTTTCATCTATTTTTGACCTATTTTTTCTCGTACAATCAATAAAGCAGGCACAATTAATTTACCAAATTCAGATACATAATGTAGTGGGTTATAAAAGTGAAGCGAGCGTATATGTAACATTTAGTATAGACGTATGACGTATCACAGTATCACGGGAATCGAAATTCTTACGTATATTATTAAAAAATAGCCCCATTACATATGGATAGCATTAAATTCTTTTATTGTTAAATTAAGGAGAGGCGGTTGATCAGATTTTTGTGATGCGATCATATTAACGTAATTTCCCCCAAAAAATCAAACGAAATTCTAATAAAATTTCAAACCTACCATTATTTGCATCATCGATATTTACAATCAAATAAACTCGTATATATTTCGCAAAGTAATAAATGCAAGTTGCAACGAAACCATCGATTCAGAACTTGATAAAAAAATGCGCAGTACATTTTAGTATATACATCATAATAAAGTTTTTTTTTTGTTTCCAAAATCGATTAGACCCACTACAAATCATATAAAAAGGTGAGGCTCTGGTTAGTATCTGCTTTGTACAATAAAATAAAAATATATTACGTCCATTTTTTTTTTACTTTTTTTACTTGTTTTTCTGGAAAAGCCAAACGTCCACCGCCAATTCGGTCGCACATGGAACGTCTGGAGGAAGTGAACTCAGTTTGCCACCGCCACTTGGTCTGTACATGACAAACTGGCCATTTTTATAAATCTATTCACCGCCACTTGGTCTGTACATGAATAGATCTGAGCAAAGTTCACGTTCCTAGAGGTTCGCCGCCACTTGACCGCACGAAGTCTCTATCATTTTCCCTTCAGTTTGTCACCGCCACTTGGTCTGTACATGACAAACTGGCCTTTTTTATAAATCTATTCACCGCCACTTGGTCTGTACATGAATAGATCTGAGCAAAGTTCACGTTCCCAGAGGTTCGCCACACGAAGTCTTTCATTTACAGTCAAACCTCTATATAACGATATGTCGGGACTCGTATTGATTAATAGTTGATTCACTTATTTACATAGTAATTTCTTCCTGAACCAAATCGTGATTTTTTTTGTGTAAAAAATATCATGTGTATCGAATACCCTAAAAGGTAAGTCACGTGAGTTCACCGACAATCATAAATCACGAGGTTCAGCCTATTCGCGCATAAGCAACTTAGCAACGCAAATTTTCACGTCATTTTTTTAATCAACAAAATTCAATATGGAACTCGCAGAAGATTGCCTAGTAAATTCGGTTATGGTACACAGTTACTTTACTTCAGTTAAAGCCGGCTTATGGAGTTTAAGGCATTACATCGATTGGGCTTGTAAAGATGAACGTGATTTGCCACTATGGGAGACGTGTTTGACAGCCTTTTCAGCTCGCTAGGTTGGATAGTTAAGCAAAGATCGATACCACAATCTATTCGTGTTATTGCTAACCGGATTGCTGAAGATAAGGAGGTGAATGTCAATAACGAGGCACTGCTTCGTCACTTCACATCACTTACAGAATCCCATATAATTCAGCTTCCTGAAACTAAGGTACTTACGGAAGATCTTCGAATGATGTATGAACGAATATACAATGGAAAATATAGCAAGTCCCTTTATGAGGTTGGTTGATGCTTATTGAAAAGGTTTAGTTGATGTTGATTTATGATCCGAATGGCAAACTTATAGCGTCGTTTATCTTCAATAGACCATGGCGCACGTACAGAAAAAAATAGTCCATGTGCAGAAAGAAGAGGAAATATTTGCTTCAGTCGCAGAAATACATTCTAAAAAACAAAAGGTAATTTACCAGTCTTTATTTTTGACCGAGTAATATTATTCAAGAATGCTGAAATGTTCTATTCCTGTCCTGTGATTCAGAACGATGGTAATTTAAATAAAGGTGGTGATCCATCACTCTTATCAACTTCCATCGATGGTAATTTAAATAAAGGTAGTGATCCATCACTCTTATCAACTTCCATCGATGTTAACAACAATCATGAACAAAACCAACGTCAAGCAGATTATTATGATTATGAATCAGTCTCCGATTCATTTGAAGAAGATGATTGTGATGATTATAAGGTAGAAGACGATAATTGCAACAAAGATAATGTAAAGAGTAAAAAGGTAACGTTTTGTAAATTTCAGTTTTTTGATATTTAACAAATTAATATAAAGTCTTTCCTACCTACTATACATAGAAGTATTTGAGTCTAGATCAGCAGAACTAATTATTTGCATTTCAATGTTTTAGAATGATCATGAAGAAAGTGACGGAATCGATGATGATTTCGTCATGCCTATTCAACCAAAGCGGAAAAAAAACGAATTGGAGAACAGTACGGTCCTTGATGCAGTTCATGATATTTCCGAGAACACCTCCAGTAATTACACTGACACTGAGCTACATAAAGCTGGACAGCCGTTAAAATCACCAGGATTCGAGTTTCAAAAAAAGCAGGCGTCAGAGAGGAAATCAAAAAGGCGCGTAAAGTTAGCACGAAGAAAAGTGAGATACCATTAAGTTCAAAAACTTCTTCCAGCGACGTATATACAAACGAAAACTCTGCAAGTTCCACGGAAGACATTGATGTTGAAATCGATGATATTACAAACATTGAAGAGCAATTAAAGAAGCAACCTCATACTGAGGTAAGTAAAGAGAGTTAACCTTTGATTTCATCTGGCGCATTATTAATGTTATTCATGTGCTTCAGTGGATTGTAAGAAATATTAACATAACACAAAAGTTCCGTCAATATCAATGGAGTGCAATTGATAAAGCGAAGAAAGGGTTACTGAAGTGGGACAATACGTATGAGATATTGTAAGCAGGGTTGGGAAATTTGTATGTACTAGGTAAATTTTGACCCTGTACTTGTACTGTACTGTACTAATTTTATATTAATTATTATGTGTACTAACTGCACTAAACTGTACTAAGCTGTACTAACTGTACTAATTTCCCAACCCTGATTGTAAGTATTGTACAACCAAAATTCTAAGAGAAAGATTATATTCAAGTTTAACATTTTGCAATTGTATTACAGGGCACTAGCATCGATTATCGTTATTTCATCTCCGTGTCCATATCCTTATGAATATTTTACGCTTGAAGAATGGGATTATATAACAAAAACTAATCCATATAGTATTGAGAAAAATACTATTCCATCATCCATTTCAGCAAGTCTATATGAAACAGCGGAGGAATGTGTTTTCGGAAGAAGCATTTATATGAATGCAGAAGAATCATTTTTGAGTAAATGTGCTGGGAGAATTTTTAATGATTTGTGAGTTGAATTAATAATATTTTGGCAAAAAATTAAAATATAGGAATAATTTTATTTAATTCTTTTTTAACACTTTTAGGAATAATGTTCCAGTAGAAGCGCCCAGTAAAATTTCTGAAGATCTCCATTGTTGTAATTATTTACACCCATTTATAAAGCCACTCTTCATGATACCAAAAGTGTATGAAGTAAGGCTTAATCGTTCAGCAGCTGGTTCTAGGAAACGGCCAGACTTTTCATGTGTTGTTGATAACATACCAATACTAAACTCTGAAATAAAACCACTTGGGTTCACCCCATTGCAAAAGAAAAAAGATTTCGCGAAGGTGAATCTAAGAGCAAAGAAGTCCATCAACCAACAACTAAGTTTAAAAGGTGGTCCTAATAAGTCCGTAATTTTTACAAATATGGGTATGTATATGACGAACTGTTTGTTTTACATATATTAATATGTATTTATTGAACGTTATTTTTATGATTTAGGCGACGTGATTGAGTCATTTCTTATGGAGCTTAATTATGACGGAATTTACTGTTCATGGTCTTTCTGTAAAAGTAAACTAATAATTGATAAAGCTTCAATGCCACTCATAGTATCTACATTCTGTCATTTTGTAGAATTGGAGGTATACATTTTTTTTTATGTCAATTTACATTTTTGTGATATAAAGATCATAACAAACTTTTTATTCACAGAAGCGAACAAACAAGCTGGCAGAAGATTTCAAAAGTCGAAAAGTTCCATTTACCCCTCCAAATCAAATTAAATTTGGATTCATACGTGATGATCCAAACTCCCCACAAATCCGTCAGTTGGTTAAATAATTGGGCTGTTGGTCTGTATGTTATTGTTTGTGAAGGGAGACGCTTTTCTAAAAGAAAGTGTTAACAGTTGATGTCTTTACGATTCATACTTATATCTTTTGCTATATGCTATTTGAGCTGTTTATAATAAAGAAAAAATTATAATTACTATAACATTAATATCATCTGCTATACGTTTAAAGGAAAGAACAATTTAAAAGTGTTTCACCATGGTGTTTGATCTTTGATTCTAGTATGGATTTTTCCCAAAATGCAAACATTCTCCTCAGTGTTGCATAATCTCTAAAACTTTTTCGAAATGATTACATAATTAAGGTATATTTTTTCATTTGCATGAAGTATCCTTTGGGCTTATAAGTTAATAGACGGAGGAGCGGTAATCACCGCATAAATTCTTGACGGGATTTACTAAGATTGATGCTAATTTATTCCTAGCATGATAAATAAAACCCGATCATAGAATGGGGTAATGTGTTAGCGAAAAGCTAGTGCATTAATATAAAAACATTAAATTACAGTAAATAAAGTGGCAAAAGTGATCGGCGTGAACAATTGTTCACGCACATGTGATTTTTTTCCTGCATCACAGTTATATCATGCTGTTGATTGAAGTGCAAAAGGCGGTTTCATCTTAAATCTAACTGTAGATGATACCGATTATGTAATTGCCGAAGTTTTAAAAGGAGCAGGAACCGCATAATACTGCGCCATACTGCGCCCTGGTGACATGGTGTCCCGCCTCGGCAACTAGAAAAATAGTGTTTTTTTACATGTGATTTAATAAGCCAATCAAATTAATAAAGTTTTGCCCAATAGGGTTTGCATTTTTTAACTCATGCTGTGTGATCTGCTCATCGAATAAAATCGTATTGTAACACAATCCCTGAGACTATTCCCGGGATTATCCCACGTACCATCCCCGGCTCTGATTGATCAAGTGTCCATAATATAAGTTTCGGGAGATAAATTTAACCGGATGTTTCTGCGCAATTTTGACGAGCCCGGACACGGTGTCCAGACTCTACCATCAGAAAAAATAGTTGTAATGATTTTCCCGAATCAAGGCTGGCTAAAGAAAAAATCCGAAACCTGGTTGGCCGATCATCTCGTGATTTGAGTTGCGGGAAGGTTGCGAGGAAGTGCTGGGAACTGCATGGGAGCCAGGGTGATACAAATTTTTATGTTATACATCATGTCTGGCTAATCCCTGTTAATCCATGCACAGCGCCTATGGCCAAACCGCATATAAATATAAATTTAGCCCTCCTTTGTATCTTCGATACTGCAGGAGATTATTTAACTATTGAGAAGAAAAATTTACACGTTTTCGGGCGACGGGCCTCACTGAAATTTGCCAAGAATTTTCATTTACTTTGGGTAAGGGAAATCTCCCGCAGTCCTTGGACAAGGGAGGAGATAAAAATGGATCTGATATTTATTAGAGTATAATATCTCTAAATCAGTCAAAATCGGCTATAAACTATAAATCAATAAAATCATTATATTCTGTTATTCTACCAAAACGCTAATATGGATTTAGATAGTAAAGCCCATTCTAAGCTAATTGATGCATGGAATACTCATGGAAGCTCTGAAGATTATAGAAGAATACTTGAAAGATTAGGCCCTTTAACAAAAAGACATGATCACGAAACACCAGAAATGTGGTGCTCTCGTATTTGTGATCCATTTAGGAAAATACTAGAAGATAACCCAAGAATTCTTTCTAAGAATGGATATATTGAAATGTATGGAAAGTTATATGAAAATGATAAAGTCCACAGTTATCCAACAAATTATATATATTGCAGTGTATGTGACTCCTTAGTCTTCATACCTTATACTTCTTTTAGTGCTCGTATCTATCAAGATAACCATTTAAAGAGATGCATTTCTGGAAATAGTATTTCGAATGAACATGCAAGAAAAAAAGAAATTCTCAAATCTATTGATAGGAGGGAATTTCAGATCTGGCAATATAAGCAATATATATTACAAGAAGAGGTTAAAATTAATCGTCTTTGTCTAGAACTTTTCTCTCAATCTACCCTATACTCAGAAAAGGATAAGTTAGCATCGGTATCATATGATATTGATGGAAATTTTACGGCTAGCTATGAAAATTATGCATAATCTAAAGCAAAAGATACTATGCCAAATGCTCCAAATTTTGAGCCAGCTTATATTTCACTTACTAGACAAGAAACGATTTTACCAACTTTTTATCAATCATCGACTCCAAATGAGACCATAAGCAAAATATTTATCTCATCTCAGTATGCTAAACAAAATAACTTATTACCATCTATAGATCATCTTAATCAGCCTGCATTAAGATTGAGAGATGGTATAAAAATCACATTTGTTTAACTGATTTAACTGAAGATTAATATCATTTAGCCAAACATTACTTATTCTTTATTTTTTGCACTATATAATCTGCATACATGGTCGCCTAGTATAATTGGCCAAAGATACTATGCATGAAATACCTGCGTGCGCAGAGAAAAACCTGATCTGCCTATTTTAGGTTAGATCCTATAATATATAGCTATTATAGTGAAGTATTTCAGGAAGATTAATGAAGTGATCTTGGGGATTCTTGATTCCTAAATACTATAATTACGGCTTTAAAAATTTCTATGCAACAGTTATTCAGCGAGCTTATAGGAATTATAAGAAGAGACCTAAATCTTTGGCAAAATGGATTTGGGAGGCGGTGAGGAATGATGGTACTTCTGATGATAAGAAGTATTTAGGTATAACTTTTTGCATTCCTTATATTGACTGGAAATTTGAGAAGAAAAATCAATTATATGTGGGATTAGCTAATGTAACATATGATATTATTTTTAAAATATTATACTAGCGAGGTTATATAATCATTAGAGGTTCAGATTGGACTAACCAGTTAAAGTGGCTACAGAATCCTAAATACAGTAGTGGTCATAAGTATCCGACCGCCCGAGATCGTCCAAAATTATTATATAACTACCCCTTAAATTTTCCAGAAATATAATA